CAAGATGACAAAAGGTTCAAGATATAAAATGCAACAACTCTTTAAGCTTTTAGATGATGACACTATGTTTTTTAGGTACAATGTTTGTGAGGATAAAGTCATTGTTCGAGATATATTTTGGTCTCATCTCGGCTCCATCGAGTTGTTTAACACATTTTCTACTGTGCTCATAATTAGTTCAACATATAAGACAAACAAGTATAAACTTCCACTTCTGGAAATTCTTGACGTTACTTCTACTAAGAAGTTTTCAGTTGGTTTTAAATTTTTGGAATCTGTAAAAGAGGACAATGTTACACGAGCTTTGAAAATGCGCAAGACTATGTTGAAGGACCAAGTAAACATGTCATATGTAATTGTCATCAATCATGACATCGCATTGATGAATTCAATTGCAAAAGTGTTTCCTACATCGCATGCATTACTTTGTAAGTATCACATAATAAAAAATATGAGAAGTCGACTGAAATCTATGGTAGGCACCAAACAAATCAAGGGTGAAGATGAAAAAATGGTCAAACCTAGTGTGGTGTTGAAAAAGATAATGAATGTCTGGAATGGTATAGTAAATTCTTTCATGAGAGTTATATGCCGAAGCTATAATACATTTCAGGGGTGTGTGTGCAAGATGTCCAAATTTCCTGAAATATGTTGAGAGTACTATATTGTACCAGGTGAAGGAGAAGATTTTTTGTGCCTGAACTGATCAGGTTAGACATTTTAAAAATACAACAATTAACAGAGTTGATTCTACACATACTACACTGAAGTTATAACTTTTCACGTTAGCAGGGAAGCATCCCATGAGATTTAAAGAACAATTCTCCAAAAAAAATCTTCACACTTTAATAAATATATTGTCCAGTCCAACCACCTTATTAACCCAAATGTTTTCATTCGGCGTCAAAATATAATATCAAACTAGTGGGATACCTGTGCGTTTGCACGGGTAACAGTATGTTACGCGTATTTTTCTCAAAATATAATAAATATGAAAACAATTTAAATTGTTCAACCAAAAATTATTATTATTATTTTTAAAAGAGATGATAAATCAGTGCCTATAATTCTTTTCATATATAAAAATATTTGTAAAAAAGGTATTCTTGTTTATAACATCAGTATTTTTTTTCCATTAATCTTTTAACATATATGAAAAAATGGTCGTTAAATTTATATTATTTAATATTTGAAACAATTAAAATTATTCTTGTTTATAACAATAATATTTTTTCCATATATATAAATAATTTAATCAGCAATGTATTATTTCTCGTATATAAATATTGTTTTTGTTTTGATATTATTTATATATTTGAATCTATATACAAATATTTAATTCAACAATATATTTTTTTCCTAAGTAAATATTATTTTGCTCAATGGCATACATTTTTACTTATATTTTAGAAATTATTTTAATTGAAAATTTATGATTTCCTATTTATAAAAATATTTGTAAGTTATTCCCGTTTATAAAAAAAATTGTATCAACAATAGATTTTTCTCACTTATAAAAATATTTGCTTATAAAAGTCAAAGGTGTATAGGTTCTCCCATCTACCCAGAAGGTCACCCATCCCAAAATTGCTCCAAGTCAAACACGCTTAACAATGGAGTTCTTATGGAACAAGCTACCGAAAAGAAGATGCATCTTATTGACATATGTATTACTAATTAATCCTTATAAGCTTTCATTCAACCATGATGTCTCATACCCGCACAACCTTAGGATCCCTCTCATTCCGATGTGAATTCGGTTTTTCCCTAGAAGCTGCTACGAGTATCTCATTGTTATGACTCATGCACCGATAACCACTCTCTTACTCTCGGATGTTATATGTAACCACTCTCTGCCCTCTTCGACATTAGATATTACATACCCACCAACTTCTGCTTGGTTCGTCCCTGAACCAGATGATAGGTGTATGAGTTTGCCCACTTATAAATGCTCAATTATTCACATCTCACACTTGACTTTATTATTCTCAACATATTCATGTTCATATTTCTGTAATTCGCCTTTGTGTGTTCTTGATATCTCCATGTGTCAAAGCATATTGATGAATGAAATATAATGTTTGTTGCTTCTGCGCATAAAAAAATAGGCAGATTTATCTCCCCCCTCAGACCAAGGTGTCTATGCAACGGTTAATATTAACCTTGTTAAAGATGTGAATCTGTCATACATAAGATATACATGCAGAATATATTTGAAAGGTATTAGTTAAGCATATTTTCCCTAGCAACAAAATAAAACTGTAAGATAAAATGTAATTACCTACACTGCAACACACACATGATCTTCTCTTTAGTAATAAAATCTTTCATCAACACTAACTTTGATTTGTCTTTCACTTATACTGTGTCACGATATACAATAACCTCAGGTCTTAGTGTACATTTTTCCTATAACAGAACAAAATTAAAACAAATTATAATTATAATAAGGTTAATACACATTTTACCTCCTGTCATTTGGAACAAATTCAAAACAGGACCCTAAAAAAAATAGATTCCGTCCTTATCATTTGAAGATTCCTTCATTTTACCCCTTCACTGGACACAATAAGCAACATATGTGACGTGACACTGTTTTGTTGTTTTTTTTTTATAATTTCTTTATTCTTTTAATGTCACATGCTTTTGAACCCATGATAGAATGTGGTACAAGTGACAATCTCTTCTACTAGGCAAATTATTTCTTTTATTTAGTTTGCATCAAGTATATATATAAACATTCTAACACTTTAATTTTACTTTTAGTTTAATAATATTAATATTTTAATTATTTAATTTAACTTCTAATTTAATATTAATTTTAATTTTTTATTAGAAATTAAAAAATTAACGATAAATAAAATATTTATAATATACATAATTAACGTTAATTAAAATATTTATTTTAACATACTTACTTTCAGTTTACTATTAATTTTAATTTTTTAATAGTAATTAAAATATTTTTTTTTGAATCAAGCTAGAAAATATTAATTCAAAAAACAAGTCAAGTACAAAAGGTGATCCAAAGAGGATCCAACCCCCCAAAGGACTTAATTACATCATAAGACTAACCAGACGTTTCCTAATTCTATTGTTTTGTCAGCCTCTATAAATCACATTATCTATGATTTTTGTAACCATGTTTATATTATCTATTATGTTTCCAAAAGTAATATTATTTCTATATATCCAAATCTTGTAGATGGTTTCAGCTGTTAACATTTTCAAAACATTAGCTTTCCATCCTTTCCCTTTTGTTTGATTAGTGATCCACATCAGTTCCGCATCCCATTGTTGGGGCTCATGCTGTATGTCAAACCATTTGAGTATTTCCAGCCATATGTGTCTTGTTCTTGGACAGGAGAAGAACAAATGGCTTATCGTTTTCTCCTCATATTTTCATAAACTGCATATGCTATCTTCAATCATCCCAAAACGTTTCAATCTTTCTTTGGTTACAAGTTTCCCATGACAAGCTTGCCATAAGCATTGGACTGCTCGCGGGTGTCCTTTGTTGCACCCGATCAGTCATCTCCAGTGCACCCTTGTGCCATCATCAATTAGTATCTTATAAAGTGGTGCCGCTTTAAATTTGCGTGTGGTCATAACTTGGTTCCATTCATTCCGTAGCAAATCCATATTGTCTCTTTGTTTCAAGATGCCCCGCATGATCCAAGAATTATGTGGTTTGGTAACATAATTCATCACATTATTGCCTTTTAAGTACTGAGTATGTATCCATTTAACCCATAGTGTGTCGATTTTGTTGCATAGGTTCTATAGACATTTCAAGAGTAGCACGTTGTTCCAGGTCTGAAGGTTTAGTATGTTCATCCCATTTTGCGCAGTAGGCTTGCACGTGGTTTTCCAAGCCACGGGGTATTTCCTGCTCGCAACATTTTTTCCTGTCCAGATGAAGCTCCGACATATTGCATCGACTTTTTTGATCACATATTTGGGCAGAGGGAGGCAATGCATCCAGTATTGTACCATTGCATAAGCTATGCTTTTAACTAGTTGTATTCTACCGGCATAACTTAGGAGCCTAGACGACCAATGATGAATTCTAGCCACTATTTTATCCACCAATGGCATAAAATGGGTGATAGTTAATCTTTTGCTAGTAAGAGGGATTCCTAGGTATTTGAAAGGTAGCACGCCTTCTTGGAAACCCGATAGCTCCTTCAAGATCTTTTTAGTTTCCATATCCAAACCCCCAAAATAAATCTTGCATTTGTTAGGTTCATCATCAGTCCTGTGGATTTGGAGAAATTTTTGAAAGTTCCTAAAATCATTTTCATTGAAATTTCATCACCTCTACACAGTAGCAGTATATCATCTGCAAAAGTGAGGTTGGTAATTTTCAGACTCTCACATTTGGCATGGTAATTGAAATTAGGGTCCCTTTGCATTTTGACCAACAACTTGTTCATGTACTCCATAATAAGGACAAATAACATAGGTGATAGAGGATCACCCTGTCGAATCCCTCTTTTGGCTTGTAGGACCTCAGTGTAATCCCCCATGATATTAAACCTGAAGGATACCGTGGTGATGCCAAGCATAGTCCACTGGATGAATTTATTTGGAATGCCTAACTCCTTCATTATGAACTCTAGTGCTTTCCAATTAACCATATCATATGATTTTTATAGGTCTATTTGCATCATAATTCTAGGTGTGCCCCCTTTTCTAGTGTACCCTTTTAGAAGTTTAGTAGCAAGCATGATGTGGTTATGTATGTTTTGGCCTTGTATAAAAGCTGCCTGATTGTGGATTATCACAATGGGAAGAACATATTCCAATCTGTCAGTCAAGATTTTGGAGATGATTTTATAAAATGTGGTGCACACAACTATAGGTCTGTAATCTTTAATCTCACAAGCCTTATTGCTTTTTGGAATCAGGGATACAACAACATTGTTGAAAGGTTTGTATATTTTACCTATTTCGAAAAACTCCCTTATCGCTGCTATCACATCAGTTTTAATGGTTGTTCAACTGGCCTTGAAGAATTTGGCTCCATAACCATCCAGGCCTGGTGCTTTGAGGTCTCCAATTCCTCTAAGGGCTTTGATGATATCATCCTCTATGATATTTCTGGTGAGGTATTCCCTCTGCTCCATGTTGAGTTGTTTTTCCATTCTCATTGCCTCAATATCTATATGGTTAATATTGTTATCCTCTTTGCCCATCAGATTTTTGTAGAATTCCATCACTTCCTCTTCAATGTCATTTTGGTCTGATAGTTTCCTGTCATCACTCTTTCGCAGATTGGTAAGGCAGTTGGAATGGTGTTTAGTTTTGACAGCAACATATAAGTAGTGATTATTTCCATCTCCTTTCCTAATCCAGTCGATTTTTTCCCTTTGTTGTAATATTTTCCATTCAATCTTGTTTAGTGCTACCACTTCCTCAGTCAGATTTATTGCATTTCCAATTACGGTGGTATTCATCTTATCCCTAATCAGCTGCTTTTGTAAGTTTTTGAGGTTGTCTCTGGCTGCTGTTAGTTTGTTTTTGACATCAGAAAAAGGCTTGCTAAAGGTTTTTAGTTCATGTTGCAATCTTTTGAATTTTTGCCATAATACATACATTGGACTACCTCTCATATACACATCCCAGTTCCTCTTGATTAGTGCATCATAACCAGGCAGTTCAGTAAGGTAATTGTTAAACTTAAAATGTTTAGCAGTTTTCCTCTGTTCCTTTGTGTCTAAGTAAAGCAATGCATGATCAGAAATATTTGGTGGAAGTATTTTCAACACAGTTTCCATATTGGTGAGGAACCATTCAGTATTACCCAAAATTCTGTCAATCCTTGAGTAGATGGGTGCAACTGCTTGCTTATTGGACCATGTGAAATGGTCCCTAATGCTATCCATCTCACTTAAACCAGTATTCTCCATCATTCTTTTCAGATCCTCATATTCCTTTTCAGTTACCAGGTTACCTCCGATTCTGTCTTGGGCTTTGATTACATTATTGTAATCACCAATGATACACCAAGGACCTTGGATGTGACTAGACATGTGTTCAATTTCTCTCCATAGGATTCTTCTTCTGTGTAACTGGTTATGTGCATAAACAGCAGTCAACCAGTGTTTGAGTGTTCCACTGTTATCATATACACCACAGTGGATAAATTGGCTGGTACTTTGTAGAAATCTCATATCCACCCTGTTTCTGTCCCAATGAATCCATATCCTCCCATTTGTGTGGTCTTTGTAGTTGTCCATGTGATTATCATACAACAACAATTTTTCTCGAATGGCCTTTGCTTTTGGTTCTTTGACTCTTGTTTCAATCAAAATGATTATTGCAGGCTTAAGTTCTTGGAGACTGGACTTAATCTCACGCATTTTGCCTACTTTATTGAGTCCCCTTATGTTCCATGAGACTAACATGGTTCAAGGTTTGTGATCACCTGGTGGTCATTCAAAACCTCTAGTGATTCAAAACCATTAACACAGTTTATGCTGCTAGTTGTATCAAACATGATGTTTTTTCCTTTATCTCGTACATATTTCTTCACCCTTGTCCAAGATTCTCCTTCTTCATCTGTTGGCTTCTCCCGTATTGGCTGTTGTGTAGGTGTTATGACTGTGAGTTTTTCCTTTAGTTTGGGTTTTGGTATCCATTTTTTAATCTTGCCTCTGTCTTCACAGTTATGTCCCAGTTTTTGACATGTTTCACAGAAGGTGGGCCTCCATTCATATTGTACAGGCTGCATTATGATATCTCCTGCAACATTCCTTATGGTGATTTCATCAATCAATGGTTGTGTAATATCTACTTCAATCAGTATTCTTGCATATGAGACACACAATTTATTCGCTGTGCATTCATCAGTACCAATGGTTTGCCAATGACACTTCCAATCTTGCTAAGACTTTTTGCCCCCCAAAGATGCAGGGGAAGTTGAGGCAGTTTGACCCATATTAGTAGTGTTCTGAGTAGGTCCTTCTTTAAATTGAATAGTAATTAAAATATTAATGGTCTTGTTAATTAATATATTTATTTTAACATATTATATTTTAATGATTTAATTTAAAATTTCAGTTTAATATTAATTTTAATTTTTTAATAGTAATTAAAATATTAATGTTGATTAAAATATTTATAATATACATAATTAATGTTAATTAAAATATTTATTTTAACATACTTATATTATACTTTCATAATTTCAGTTTACTATTAATTTTAATTTTTTAATAGTAATTAAAATATTAACGGTCTTGTTAATTAAAACATTTATTTTAACATACTTATATTTTAATTATTTAATTTTAAATTTCAGTTTAATATTAATTTTAATTTTTTAATGGTAATTAAAATATTTATTTTAACATACTTATATTAAAATATTTATATTATTCATAACTAACGTTAATTAAAATATTTATTTTAACATACTAATATTAATACTAATGTTAATACTTTAATTAAAATATTTATTTTGACATAAATAAACTGAAAGTAATAGTTTTTAATATTAGAAATTAATAATAAACTGAAATTAATAGTTTTAAATAATAAAAATATCAATACAAATATTATTAAATTGAAAGTAGTAGTTTTTAATTATTAAACTGAAAATAATAAATTGAAAATAGTAGTTTTTAATATTAGTAATTAATATAAAATTGAAAATACAAAAATATTTTTTTATAACAAATTAAAAATAAATAATAAATTAAAAATAAAAATATTTGAGGAGAAATAATATATATATATATATATATATATATATATATATATATATATATATATATATATATATATATATATATATATATATATATATATATATATATATATATATATATATATATATATATATATATATATATATATATATATATATATATATATATATATATATATATATATATATATATATATATATATATATATATATATATATATATATATATATATATATATATATATATATATATATATATACACATTCGCCCCAAATGGCAGGAGAGAAAATATGTATTAACCTATTATAATATAATAATAAAATTTAAGAAAGAAATAAATAACAACTATCAAATGTTGTTGTTGAACTCATGTCGACTTCATGATTGGTTGAATTGTATTTAACCTGAATTTTAACTGTTTGATGTAGGAATCAGGTTTAAATTTGATTCATCGGTTCGACGTTGAACAAAATTATTTTAGAGTACAACAAGGGGCACTTCAGAATGAAAAATCAATCTTAAAGTTTTCCACTGAAAGAATATGCAATTCTTTTTTATTTGTTTAGTTCAAACTAGAGTTGGAAATGAGTCGAGTCTAGTCGAACTCGTCTTAACTCGACTCGACTCGTTAATAATTGATTCAGCTTAAATTTTGGTTCGAGTTCAACAAGAATTTTTTTTAAGTTTAAACTCGGCTCGTTAAAAGTTCACGAACTATTCAGTTCATCTCATTAAGTTCACGAACTATTTGTTTAAGTCTGTTTTATTTTTATATATTTGACATTTTAAATTAATATTTTTTTAAAATGAAAATATTGAAATAAAATAAAAGTTATGAGTATAGAATTTAACTTTGTTTAAAAAATCTACTAATTTAAAAATTACACAACTTTCAAGAGACATATTTGAAAGTCTAATTCAAAAAATACTCAATTGAAGTTTAAATTTATCTCAAAAATCCATAACTTCATCGAATATTTAGGAAACTTACAAATTTAATGAAATAATACACAAAAATTACTAGAAATTGATACACTTTCATCACAAAATGATTACACCATTTGCAACCTTCATTACACATGTTATTTTAACAAATGTCATAATGTCTCCAACAAAGATGACTCTAAATGTAATTATATGTTTTATTGCCCTAACTAACACATAAGGAACAATATAAGGTTAAATTTGGAATAAATATTTAAACTTACTCTAAAAAATAATAAAATCATTCTCATATATAATTAAGTTTACTCATAAATCTAACAAATCGAGTCCTGTATAGTTTAATTTCAACTCATGTAGTTAACGAACATAATTTTTCGTTCATATTCAGCTCATTTGCTTCATGAACTTAGTTCAACGATTTAATTCTCGTACCAAATTTCAAACTATTTTTGAGTTGTTTTGGTTTATTGTCAGCTCTAATCCAAACTTAACTACTTTAAATTTGTTTCAAAAGTTTCATAATTTCTTGCTTACATGTCATTAGCACCTACGTTAATTGTCAAAATGCAATTCATCTTATTGTTAATCCTGACACAAATGGACACAAGACATGCGTGGAATCTCAATATAAATAATACTGTGATTGGCTGTATTTAATCTTCTTATATTCATGAACATTGCATTGGCCCTACATGAAATTATGATTTCAAAAAAATAAACTTCATGGATTGAAACTTAATAAATAAAATGCTACTTATCATTACAGAAACTTGAAAGTATTTACCAGCACACTATTGGAACAAAAAATCTACCTATGTGAAAATATGTTCTTTATTAATCCAAATAAATATATTATCTTAAGATGAAACATTCCTATAAAGGCTAAACCCTAACGTGTCAAAGTATGCAAATGTCATTTTAGATTCTGGTTTTGTATTTGATCTGAGTTTGTATTTTTAGTTTGTATTTGATCTGAGTTTAGAATCTAGACTGACTTTTAGATTCTGGTTAATTCTTAGCAGAAAAATATTAATAAAAACAAATAAATGATAGTAGAAGACATAAAGATTTATATTGGTTTCTCCCAAATTAAGAGTAGTCAAGTTTCCTTGCTTCACAAGAGATTTTCACTATAATCAAATCATGATTACAACTGCTTATGTATTCTACATAAGACTTTTACAGTTGCTCATACCCAAGGTCCAAGACTTCTGATCAAACTCCTCACTCGAGACTTCTTGCTTAGGTTCCACGAACCCAAGACTTCCTTGCTTAGGCCCTCTGCCCAAGACTTCTGCTCAAGTCCCTCAGACCCAAGACTTCTGCTCCAAGTCACTCTGGTTGAGCCTTATACTCCAAGTCCCATGAAACAAGCCTCTTTGCTTGAACCCCTCAAATTCAAGACTTACTGCTCCAATTTCATGTACTAAGCTAATCTACTCAAGCCACACTGGTTGATACTTCAGCTCCAGTTCCCATGAAACGAGCCTCCTTGCTTGAACCCCTCAGATTCAAGACTTACTGCTCCATTTTCATGTACCGAGCCAACCTGCTTAAGCCACATTGGCTCAAGACTTCTGCTCAATCAATCCACTTGATTAAGATTTTCACAGCTCAAACACATAGCAAGAGACTTACGTGGCTCAAGCATCTTGGCTTGAAACTTCCTTGCTTGTATCCAATGATACAAGACTTTTGCTCAATCGAACTAGTTGATTAAGACTTTCACAACTCAAGCACATATCAAGAGACTTATGTGGCTCAAGCATCTTAGCTTGCGACTTAATCTAAACTGCTAAATAAGTTCAGAAGAGTAGGGAACAATGTGTACTTGATACAAGTATCAAAGGAACAAAAAATTACCATAACAAAGACCTAAAACACTTAAGATTTCTAAGATATTCAATGTGTAAGAAATCTTAAGGCTTTTACAGTTACAACCTACAACAGAAAATTTGCATATACAATTATGTTGATAATTGATGATCTTGTTACTCCTTCTTCTGGATGATCATTGTTAAAGATTTAGTTTAAACCTTTAACCATATTTATAGTCTTTTCAGAAACTAGCCATTAAAGAGGTAACTTGATCAAAAGTCTTTGATTTTGCTCCATAGTACAAGAGAAGTTGAAGATAGATACACCAGAAGATCTTGATCCAATGTGGAACATGTTTAACCTTTGAGTCTTTAAGAAATCATGTACTATTAGAGCCATTGAGAGTAGATATCCATAAAGGATTCCAGCCTTTCTTGAGCCTTGCAATCTGCAGACTCTAGCTGACAAACTGATTTGACAATACAACTTGCTTTCTGCAGTACGAACAACTTTAGCTTTATCACCAACTCTGAATGGTACTAGAAGCCAATTTGCATTCACTAAGTGTATAGACAATTATGTTGTTTTTTCTAATGCTGAGACCTTCAGCTTCAGAGTCTACGCCAGACATCACTTATCAAGTGTTCTTCAGATTCTGCCACCAGAAGCTAGCAATTCAGCAACTCCTAAAGTGTGCTAATGTAAAATAGATTTTGACTATAATATTCAGAAGTATTAGAACCTGCACACATGTAACACACATTAAATAAACCATTGTTCTTTTAATACTTTGTTATCATCAAAACCCAGAAAAATATGTCATGAATAAATCTTGTTCTAACAAAAACATGGTACTACACCTAAAGAAATATTAATTATCCACCAGAAGCTAAATAAACGCAGTGTTAGTTTCACCTCATATCAAGATAAGG